ATTTTTGTGGGACAAATTAAAAGTTATGACATAATTTATTTTTAAATAAATTGTATGCAGTTTGTTTTATTAAGGATAAAAATCACAAAACGGTCAAAATGACCGCTACGGGCGTTCTAGTGTTAAAAAACACTCAACATCTTCATAACATAATCAACTATCATACGATCAATATTATCGATATGTTGTTATTCATTCAACAATATCTTTTTCTTCTGATTAATTTTCATAACGTGATACGGCTTTTGTTTCTCACGTTTTATAATCGTTAACATAATTAGAGAACTAGCAAATAACGAGATATCTCTTTTCGCACATGCATATCTTTCTTTTCTATCGACTCAGTGAAGCCGAAAAAATGTCCGCACGTGGGATATCTAATGTAAAAAAAGTTATCTCCTTATTTGCTAGTTCTCTATTGACTGTAACGTACATGTGCTAAAACCGTTAAAAAGATTGATTATCACATTGTGATATGAAAGACGAAAGTCTTTTCTACAGATTCTCTTACATAAAAATTGTTTTCTCACCTTTTACGCACTCATAAAGGAATGTCTCTAACATGTGATAATAACGATTTACATTTATCATTGTGTAAAGTAAACATAGTGAAAACCTTTTCTTTTCATCATTCTTTTGTATAACTTCCTATCATTTCGCTTAAAAATCGACTCCATTTGAATAAATAATGACCAGATCATGTGACTAGAAAATGTGACTAGATCATGTCCCTACTATCATCTGATCCTTGTTATTTCTTCAATGATAGATAGAATATTTGTGTAAAATCACTCCATGTGACTAACGAAGGTTTAGAAATATTTTCCAATATGCACGAAATTTACAAACCAAAATTTTGATTATGAATTATATGGACATGATTTTAGATTTAGCGTACAGAATTGATAAAAAATAACTAGTACCATCTTCCGTTACTCCAGTCTGTTTCGGTTGAATATACTATTGTTTATTCCTCTACTGTGTTTTGTTACATATCACTACGCACAATTGTTCGAGATATTGTAATTCTGATATGGTCCTATAGGAAGTATACCCATGAAGCAAAATTAATAACTGATCTTCCACATGTAATCGATATTATTCTTTTTAATAATGTGAAATAGTTATTTGTAACAAAAAACCAGTGCATAAATTGCATTCCAGTATTTAACTAGAATCTTATTCATTAATTAGATTAAAATAAAACACTGAAAAACTAGACGTACGTGCATAGAAGAAAAGAATAAGGGAAAAAAGATAAAGAGGCGAAACATATATTATTGTATTTTTTTGTAGAGAAAGATTAAATTCGTTCCTTTTTTGCAATCAAGATTTATAAATATCTGACATAAATAGTTTCGAATGGGAGAAAATAAACAAGTAAAACTTGTGTTTACTTCATTATATACAAATTGTACAAAAATAAGGGTAAAAATTAGCAAAAATAAAACGAGAGAAATAAACACTAACGAATTGCAAAATTTTCTGAAAGAGTCTATGATAATTGTAATCTTTTGTTTGATATTTGTTTTGTTTTTTCTTTTCAGTTTAATTATATTTATATTTCACATGGATTGAGGAACCAAATGATTTAATTCTTTTTGTGTTAAACAACTTGAATGTAGTCTAGTGTGATCATCGACTATCATAGAAAGTGCACCTAAATTAGAGATAAGAAGTTAATAAAAGAATAAATTTTAGAAATACTAAATAGTAAACAAACCTTTATGCATTGCATTTCTTACAAGATCTGTAAGAGTGCCTGACGATGATGCGGTATGTATGGATTTGGGTGTGACTGAACTTGTTGATGTATTGCTTTCTATTGATGAATTTGAAACGAGAGATGCAGACGATGCTGATGTAGATAAAGATGAAGTTGTGGTTGATATCTTTATCACATTTTCTGTATTTTTCGATATACTATTCATGGTATTTGGTGCATTATTATTGTTGGTGTTTGGCACACAATCAACAAAGAATGACCATGGTGTAGATGACGAACTTTTACCAATACTTGGTGTTAGTGCGGAAAGTGTTGGAGCTAAACAGAAAAGATAAGATAAAATTTCAATAACACGCACAAATAAATTGTAATTATTTAAAATATCACTTACCATCTAATTCATCATTAAATACGGTTCTTTTTCGACCTTGATGAATTCTAAAATAATAAGAAAAAATGTATTCATTGATGGAAACATTAGCTAAATATCAAATAACTTACCGGTAAAAATTAAACACGCCTGGTTCACATGGTGAATAAGGTAACTCAAATCCATTATCACTTGACTGTCGATTAAAATTAATCGGTTGTGATGGTGATAGTAGTTTTTCAGACATAATAAAGTAAGATAATGGTAACAATCAGACAGAATAGGTGTAAATAAGTAAAACTATCGACACACTTAAAATTAAATTTTATAATAATATGTGTTTCTTTATGAACAGACAAATTGTCTAAAATAACATAAACGAAAAAAAATAGTAGATTCTGTAACCATTGTATTAACACACTCAATGTCGAGTATGTAAGAAGAGAATAATGTAACGATGTCGTTGCAAATTTATAGCTACAGTTTAGACTGAGACATAAAATTATATTTTTGACATTGAAATTAAATGTCTGATTAACGGATCTAACCATTGAAGGTTTTCAATCGTTTTCGTGTAAACTATGCATAAGTGGTGTTGTGAATTCATGCCATTTTAATGCAACGAAGGAAATAGTGTTATAGAGAAACAGGATTTCTAATTGTTCCTGGAGATGGAAAGAGCTGAAAATTTTGCTGCGCAGAAAGTGGCTGGCAAAAAAGCGTTTTCGCAATTTTTGACAGAAATTTGCTTACGGAAACATGTTCAAGATTCTGCCAGAAAGCCCAGAAACCTTTTTAGGGTGGGGCCAGCCCCCCCTGCCCCTCCCCCTGATCAGGAAGCCTGTAGAGGAGAACGGTGATAAACAGTAATGATAAGCTAATTCTAGATTGATACATACCAGATAAGTGTGTTTTCCTTTAATATTTTCTCAATGAACAAATGAGCAAATATAAATAAACCGGTTTAAAGATCACTGAATACAAAGAGTATCTGATTACAAATCGGTGTGTGTGTGTCTAACTATGAATGTGTTCGTAAGATCAAATAATAAAATGTTGTCAAGCAAAATAATGCTGTGAAAAGTCTGGAAAAATATGTTAGTAATATACTCCTGTCAAAAAGAAATCGTTGCTACTTATATAATTACATAAAAAAAAAAAAAATTTTCGTTCTCTTCTCGCCTTTTCTCTCTACGTTTTTTTTTATCGGCATCAACATATACTCCGTCCTTGAAGAAACTCATAGGTTACAGATATGTACGCTATAATTATTTTCTTTTGATTCTGCTTACGTCATTATGACGAACAAGCGTTTTTTCCAGTTCTCCAGAAAAAAATATATATACGTTTCATTTTTTTTAAATAGATTTCTACAATATTCTATGACTGTTTCACCATCAACTGCTTGGTGACATACCCCTATAAGAAGAGACACACCTCCGAAGAACAAACAAAAAAGGATGTCAGAGTAAATCGTGTGTAGACTCGTCGTGAAGTTTTTTTGGAAAAAACACATACACATGCACATACGCAAATACAAAGAAGAGAATCAGAAAAAAATTGCTTGTATCGATAAATTATCTAAGTGGATATTATGATGACCCTGAAGAACCAACGCACACTAAAATTAAGAGATATGCTTGATCACATGAGAAAAAGAAAAAGGAAAAATATTACAGAAAGACGAATATACTAGAAAAAATTATATTTTCACATGTTTAGATTGTTTTTGTATTGTTAAATGAATAAAGTAAACAACATAATATGAAATTAATGGGGGCAGAATAGCACAGAAGTACGGACTAATGAGGGACTCTACACAGGTGATTAAAAGCTTTTCTGATTAATATTAGTTTTTCTCATCCACAAACTCAATAAAGGCATAAACGGACATCAAGTTCGTGATCAACATCAAGAATAACTATAGAAAAACTAGTGTTAATCAGAAAAGGTTTTAATTATCTATGTACGTTCCACTGTTTCCGATAAACATTTTAGGAGAGGATAGGAGTAAAAAAAGATTTTTTTCGTGAGTAACTATGTTTTTTTTTATTGTCAAATTGTTAAAAAATAGATATCCATATCGTTAATATTTGAACAGCACTCAACTGAGTGCTGTGACATACCCCCATAAGCAAAAGACACACCTCCAAATTCTACTATTACACAGAGATACATTTACTGAAATGCCAGTTTCTCAGTGCCGTCGTTTAACTTAACGTAAAATTAACAGTTTTTTTTGACATTATTTAGGTCAACAAATATGTTGATACTGCTTTAAAAATTTTAGTGAGTAATATTTACCTCTCTCAGGTGAATTTACCTCTTCTTCTTCTCTAATCGAAATTGCTGAAAAGTTCTCTCGTAAGAGAAAACATTCTGACTTTTGCAAAGAAAAGTTCCAAACATCTTGTAACGTGTATCATACTAACGTTGTTAGATAATGATGATATTTTGCGTAAAGTACATTGAAAGCTTGAACATGAATTAACTTCAGTAATGGATATCTTTAGAGTGCAAAACTGATAGATAAAGTTACATGAACAGAATATAAAAGAGAAAAAATGTAGTGGTAAAAATTCGTTTTAAAAAACAAAAATTCTTCCTTTTTTTCTAGAGTTATTCAAGACCACGCGCTACACAATTATGCATTCGTTCTCATCTTAACTCTCATCTTACAGAGGGCATTTTGCTGTAGAGCAAGCGGGCATGTGATTTATTTAGTTAAAAAACAATTATTTTCACATAATATTGCTTAATTATGTCTCAAATGTTAATAATATATATAATATAATTAGGAAAAGTCAAAGTCGAAAAAAAATTTGTTTTCGATAAAAAAAATTATTGCTTAGGGGAAGGAACACACCCTAAATTTCTGACAAACATTTTTTTATTTATAAAACTAACAAATTATACGCCATTTGACGTAGTTTCGTGCACTGATTCCAAATATGTCATTAATTTCCAATAAGAATCGAGAAAAATATATTTGTCCTCCAAACCAAGGTTTTCTGAAAAACCTGTACCAAAGGATCCGTAGAAAAATCGCATTTATAATGAATGCATGACATGACCATGAACATTTTGGTATAATTTTGAATCAGACTCGACATGCGCGACCTCATTACATTCTAAGCATCTATACGGAACGAGGATTAGTTCGGAAATTCATTTTTTTCTCCTAGGACCAACGTGGAAATTTTTTCATTGATAGATGAGTGTGTCTAGATTCAGAGTAGGTACTGTTTACAGATATAATTTGCCTTAATGAAATAAAAAAATGCCTTTCCTCCGAGGTCGTTAGTATTTAGACTATGTTTTGCTCACATTTTTCCTAAACTGAGCACTTAAAAAAAAAAATTTCTACACCCTTGGATAGCCCGTAGATCGAAGTATATGTGACACTATTTGGATCTTGGATCTCACTTTCAATTTTTCACCCTATGTCTGCCTGAATGCCCACCGTGCATCTTAATTATCTACGACATAGTTTAGTCAAACTACAATTTATACATATAAAAATCTCTCAGGGTGTACTTTCACCATAGACAAGTATTTATGATGTAACCAACTATAAATCAATATTAATCTAATTTGAGGTTTTTTTTTTCAAAAAAAGAATTTACTTTCCAGTGTTCAGGCTTTAAAACTTACTTAATCATAAATTTCTATAAACATAGTGCAATTAATTAATTTAAAAAGTTTGTTTTCGGTATTAGCTAGGATAGTATTTGTTTCGAGGCTTCTTGACTGAGATCACTTTTTTGATAAAATGCGTAACATAAAAATTAAGATCAAAGAAACATCACAGGGCAGGAACCGCAAAATGAGAGTAATGACTTGAACAAAGTACTCAAACGTTTATGTATATATACGACGTATTAAAATAGAAAACTCACCTCATAATAAATTTTTTTAAAAATGATCTAAACATAGAAACCAAAAAGCTCTTTTCATGTATCTCTGCTTATTTTTGTCAATGAAAACTGTACTATGCGTATCGTCATCATTATCTCAGAATAAACGACGTATATGGACATTGTTCTTTTTTCCGACCGTCCACAGTTGTTGTTGTTTGTTTGATTTCCTTACACAAACCCTCTGATCTGACATATCTTTTTTCTCATCGACGCGTCTCTCCTACATAAACACAGAATGTGTCTTTTGTCCTCATATCAAATAATACATGTCATCTTGATAGAAAAAATCAAGCGGGCTTAAAAGAAAACGTGGATCAGGTCTTGACATTTTCTATTTAATATATTTTTAAAAGCAAGAAATGTCTGAAGACGACTCAAAACTTTGTATAAATATACATCACGATAGCAGAGAAACTCAATCTAACAAAATTTTCGAAATAAGCAAAAGATTTTTCCTTCATACTCGTGATCTATGTTAAGAGTGTGCATACTTTTTTTCTCTCTGCATCATTTTCAAGGTTCTATTATTTGAATAAAAACAGACCCAAATGATTATACAAGTCATCTAACAATGGCCAACCTTATTTTTTAATAAAAAAAATTTCAGTCATATGTACAATATGGTTACTAAATTACATATCAAACCAAACATATGTCGATAAAAGAGTGGTGACATTTTTTTTCTCTTCCTTCCCACATCATTTTTTTCTACATTGAATAGGTTTTATTGCACGCCCACCTGAATAAAATGAATCTCTAGTTTAATTATGTTGTCACTACCACCTACTTGAACAGAGAAAAAGACATGACATTATAACCACTGGCAAAAAGTACACGAAAAACGAAGGGAATATGTGAATCAAAGAGAAAATGTCTTTCTTAATTGAAATCTATGAAAAAAAGCCTTTGAAGACTACTAAGAACATAAATGTGTTTTTTTTTAAAATAAAACCAGAAGCATTATACAGCAAAAATCAAGAATAACTGAAGTTGATTAAAAAATAAAGATGCTAACATCAGTGGCGGATTCAGGATTCTACCGACGGGATGGCGATTTCTAAACGATGTCATCCGGGGCAGAGATGTAACCGGTCAGGAATTTCTGACCGGTTGGTCGAGAAAAAAAATGTTTTTTTTGTCTGAAAAATCAGTACTTTGTCGAAAACGAATTTGCTGAGCTAAGTAAAACAAAGCTTTTCATATTTCAGATTAAGAAAGTTAGTTTGGTTTGCTCTTTTTTGTCAACAGTCTTCGACAGTAGGACTGTTAATCTCTACTATGTGAATATTCCGTTCGTTTTTCTTTCTTTTTTAATGTTTGTTGCACA